TTCTAAAAAAAAAAAGAATTGTTTTTGCACTACAGACAAGTGTAGATAGCATAGTTTTGGCTACATAAGCAATATCATTCACATAAGAACCGCATGAATAGAAAGAATATACAGTGCTATTTACTGTACTCTAGCTAACAAAGGTTATATCAATAAAATTGTAAACATTTTTGAAATTAAAGAGCTGAAAAATATATATCTTCAACAGCATGCCTTCTGACATGCTTTGCAAAAAAAGTGCTTTTATTGTTACTTATCACACAAGTGTTAGCAATTACTTCTTAGGATCATCTCAAATATTCTCCATTTGCCAGACATTTTAAAATCTAAATATACATATCTAATTATACATGTCCTATGGGGAAAACTTAATGTGTACTTTAGTTATTTATGCACTTTATCTACCACCTCAGTGCAAATGGAGTGCAGGTAATTTCCAGAAATTAAAACAGACTTTCCATCAAATAAACTCCTCCCATTTCCAGGCCTAAACTCTTCTCCCTCCTAATATCAGGCTTTCCCCAAGGTTCCTTCCCAGATGATACATCTAGAAGTTTCCCCACATTTGTAGACCTACCATGTCCCCTTCTAATATTATTTTTTCATCTTGGAAGTAGGTCTGCCTACTAGGGAGATACCCAACTCAGACCAATGTAGCGGCAATCCTGCATGGGGATCAATCTTGCCGAATCCAGTAGGGATGTTTTCTGAATAGATACAGGCATTTGAGTGAGCATATGTTACACTGCCAGTGAAAAAGGCCTTTTTTAGATAAACCAAGCATTACTTTAAAAATATTTTATCTCCAGTTACATACATATCCTACCAGTTCTCTGCTTTACCTGTCTTTGCCATCTTCTCCCCATATGCTATTCCTTGGAGCATAAAAAATAATCCAGTCTAATTAAAAAGCCCAGCCTGCAAAGAAAATGACATAAAACACTTGAAATAAGGGAGAAAAAGGACGAAAAGGAATTGCAGTGTAAGAAAAGAAGACAAAAAGAGATTCTAAAGTTAGCTTTCTTCTTAACCCAAAGAGCAGTAAATTCAAATTATGAACCATCAGAGTAGAAGTCAGAACATAGCCCAAAGCTCAGTGCTTGAACATAGACGATGCAAATAGAAAGCCCAACTTCAGTCCCTGATATTTCTAGATCAGTTTTCTAAAGTTCAGCAACAAGTGATATAAAGAATTCTCTGTCTGACACCTGGAGAGGTCTTGCCAGTTAGAGGTGACAAAACTGGACTAGATACATGCAATACCAAGCAGCTTCCTCTGAATGGATAAATTACATTTTCTTGATCTATGAGGACAATTAACATTTCAAATTAATCTGAAAATCAAAAGACTCACAGGCTGCTGAATCATTAATTCACTTTGCATTTCTCTTTTCAGCATGAAAAATAAAAATGACAACCCAGTTTTCCTTTTCAAGGAACTATTCAGATAGATACCAGCTTATGGGAGATGCCTGCAACAGAGATAAAGAGCAAGATAACTTCCTTTGTTATTTAAGGTGGGTTCTTGTAGGTTTTGAGGATGTATTCTCAACTCAATGCAACTCGAGAGCTCAGCTTTTATAAATAATTAAACAAGCTTATTTACTAGTAATAGAAGCCCCTTAGAAAATGAGATGTGGTAACTTTCCAAAGCCCAAATCATCAGTCAGTACAATTATGGTACAAATAATCCTATGTTTACTATTAAAATCCACCTCCACTCTCACCCCCCCCCAAAGGAATACAAAAAAGCAATAAGCTTTGAATTACACAGAAATGGTCTGGTGTGCAAATTGCTCCATATTGTATCTGAAATTCAGTAGGACAAGTTCTGCATCCATGCCTGAACAACAGGCAAGCTCTAAGCTTTTGAATTTAGAAACTAACAGGGGACAAAAGAAATCAAAAGTACACGCTTTCATGTATGCAGACATCATATAAGGGTGGAAAACTCATCTGTTCTTTGTATACCATGGTCTGAAGAGCTCAACGTTTTCTACGTCTGAAGAATTTTTTTATGAGTACAAGTCCCTTATTAGGGAGTTTGAGTTCCATACATTCATTTCTATGTTTGATACTCATTATTAAATGAGTAAATTATTTAATTGTATAACATAACATGAATATGTAACACTAATTTTACTTACCGCAGAAGAGATGCATGCTTTGTTTGGCCTTCCTTCCTTCCTTCCTTCCTTCCTTCCTTCCTTCCTTCCTTCCTTCCTTCCTTCCTCTTTTGCATATAACAGACATCTTTAATTTTTAAAAACCGAGAAAAAAGCTCCTAGGTCAGATCAAATACTTTGGTCAAATTCTTTCTATGTTGAAATCAATTCAAGAGACAATTGTTTTAAATTATGAGAAGACTAAAAATAATTTAAATAACATAAATGAGCAACTCTCCAACTTAAACTTACAAGCAAAAAACGTTCAGAAAATGACCATAAAGAATGAACTAGCAACTGAGAAACCAGAAGAAAAAATAGTGGAAATAGACATAAAGATAAAAGATTCAAAAGAAGAAACCAACAGACAGGCACAGATAAATAAAAATTTGGAAGGCCCAGATATAGCACTGGAAATGGGAAAGACATTTTACTTTTCAAGACTACAAATCATATTTCAGGACAAGGAAGAATAATTGATAGAATGGATGACAGAGCTGTTAGGAAAAATGCTGAAAACTGGGGAACAAGAAACTAAAAGAGAAACTGAAGAAGAAAATGGAGGCTGTTTAACAAATATGAATGGATTAAGTGTTTTTACAAAAATACTTTAATTAAATTGTCTTTTTTATTCCAAATAATATATATAAAAGCAGAGGAAGAAATATTTGGTGACTTAAATGTACTGATTTACAAAGTTATTTGGCAAAGGAAGAAAGCTAGAGTAAGACTGAAGAAAATAGATGTCCTGACTAATGAGATGAGGTATTATACCATCTAATGTTTGAATATGATTAAAAGAATAGATAATTGTTAGAAATAAAAGGACCATTATGAATTAGATTAGAAGGATGTGATTTGTAACTAGGATAACATAATTTTCTGTAAGATGGGAAATATGAAAGTACTAAGAGGTCGGTATAAGGCAGGGGTGGCAAACCTATGGCACAGGTGACAGAGGCGGCACTCAGAGCCCACTCTGTGGGCACGTGTGCCATTGCCCCAGTCCTAGGCCTTCAGCTGGGTTTTATAAAACCTTTTCACTTTAGGTGTCCACTGCTGTGTGCAAAAAAAAAAAAAAAAAGGTTCAATCAATCAGTCAATTTCAACTTCTCGTGGGAAAAAAATCTTGCAAAGTTGGAATTGATTGATTTGAACTTTTTAGACCCACTCAGTCTGCCGTTACCACCGCAGCCACGCTCAGCCAATGGGCCACACCCAGCCAATGGGCCACACCCACCCGGCACACGACGATACATAAGTGGGGTTTGGGTTGCAATTTGGGCACTCGGTCTCTAAAAGGTTCGCCATCACTGGTATAAGAGAAGCTTTTAGTTAGCCAAACATAATTAATTATGAGAAAAATGATAATTGATAAAGTTATTTTGAATATTGATGGGAAATTAAAATTGAAAAATAGAGAAAAAAACAGGATACAGATTGAATAAGGGAACTCTGATTGCAAATACATTTGAGATATGTTTTTTTGCTAGAGAAGATATTATAAACTGATATTAATACTATGTATAATATTAGAAACATGTGATGAAGATGTTTATATTTAATTGTTTAGGTATTAATAGCAGTAAGAATTATACTTGCATAGTGTGGAAAAATGATTATTATTGGAAGAAGAGAGCATCAGGGAAATACTGGATGGTGTAATATTGGACATTTTGAGTGAAAGTTAATATATACCACTGATGATAAAGGAACCCAGACACCGAGTTGTTTATTGAGTACTTATGATTGTAAAACTTGAAATTAATAAAATATTTACAAAAAAACCACAAATACTTTGGTCAAATACTTTTTAAGGCATATATTCCTATAGCAACCATCAAGAAAGCCCAGAAGCAGGGCAGGAGAATAGCTCCATCACCACTATTAGCCTGAAATTGTTACTTTGAGATACACTGCCTTTGATCCTGGAGGCACACCACAGAACCAACTTTTTCAGCAGGCAGTCTCTTTGTCCTAGAGCAGGGGTAACCTTGGCTCTTTTATGACTCATGGACTTCAACTCCCAGAATTCCTGAGCCAGCATGGCTCAGCGTGGAAACCTCTCAATTTCTCCTCAACGTGGCTGGCTCAGGAATTCTGGGAGTTGAAGTCCACCAGTCATAAAAGAGCCAAGGTTACCTAGCCGTCCTAGAGTGTTTATGAGGTTGTTCAAAGTCAATATCCACTTGACATACAAGCAATCAAAATCAATTTGACCCCAATTTGACCCCAAAAGGTAGAGACAATGTTAGAACGTCAATGGAGAAGGTGGGATAGATTTTTTAAAATTTGGCCTTATTCCTTTTCTAATCTATTTTTTTTAAAGAATTAAATTAGCTGGATTAAAGGTTATCAGTGGCTCAACATATCCATTTTTTGTTCCTGAAAAAAGTTGAAAATCACCTGGTTATTTTTGTCAGCTTGAAACGAATTAAAATGGTACATTTTCTGGGGACAAAAAGACACACACGACACAGGCTCCCCCTAAAATACCCATGGCCAGCAATGCTTTGGAGCCAAGCTAGCCTTCTACTTGTCTAACACCCTTTAAAACCGTCCTAGCAGCTGATGCTCATCTGCCCATTAACAATAAACAAGCATGAAGGCACATGCCCATAAAGACTTTGGCAGATGAGCTTTACTGGTTGCCTCACGTCCTTTCCCTCCTTGAGGAAAGACGGGGGGGTGTGCCTCCAGTTACGTCAATCATAAAATGGAGGGGAGCGGGGATCCAGTTCCCACAGGCCACACCCATTACTGTAAGGCAGTTTCTCAGTCACAGCAACTTTAATATGAGTGGACTTCAACTCCCAGAATTCCTTGCTGGCTGGGGAATTCTAGGAGTTGGTCCATACGTCTTAAAGTTACCGAGGTTGAGAAACATTGCTTTAACCGAATAAGAGGCAGGAGGGGCCTCCTTGTGCCTATTCTCTGCACTCCACACGTACCAAACATCTCCGCTTCGCTCCCTACCAATTCTGATCGAAACACAGCAATGCTGTGTCAGACGGGTCTTTATTTTTATTTTTTTTTACGATCACCCGAAAGAATCTGTAATCTGGGCTAGATTGCGGCAAGATTTCTTCCGGCTGCGTGTGAGGGGCCGGGCAGAAAAAACGGAACCTCCTTTTCTATTCATTGGATGAAGACTAGACCAAGTATTTTTGTTTAACCAGCCTAACGCAGGCCTTCGCGGTTCCTTCCACCCTGAAACTGGACAGGCTCCGAATTAACTGCACGGGAAGCCTCTGGGGAAGTAAGAGGGCGGCGCGACTCAATTACTCTTTTTACGTCGTTGAGGCAACCGCCGAGGCTCGGCCCCTTGCTGGATCCGCCTCTTTCGGCGCTGGGGAGGAGTCCTCATGGCCATGGGCGAGCCTCCGGGTCCAAAGGCACAAGGCAGCTCGACAGATGGGCGGCTACCCGCCTGCAGCAAACGGGGCCGACGGTTTGGGCTTGTCAGCGTCCGCCGGATGATGGGCAAGCTGGAGAGATTCCACGGGAGCTGCTCCGCACCAGCCGCAGCTTTGGGATTCTGAGCCGCCGCATCGTCAGCTTGTAGGCAGCGCTGCAGGAAGTGCTTTTGAGAGTTCAGGCGAGGAGCGGCTGGCGGAGAGTTCAAGCGGCTTTCCTTCTGGCGCGGCTTACGAGGGGGGGGAGGGTGTGAATCGGGCCGAGCGACCCTTTCTTCAGCCCGGGACGCAGCTGCCGCCTCACCCGGAGCAGACGGCAGCCCGGGGCGCGTCGCCAACCCCAGCTGCAAAGGAGCGCCTCCTTCTGCGATGCCGGTTTTAATTTCTCTTGAAGGCAGCCGAGAGACGTCGGCTTGCGTGAACGGGTGGGATTGATGCCCTTTTAATTAGGGTTTTCCAGCTCGATCTTCCAAGTGACCGGCGGCTTTTATATACACACACACATATATATGTAAGACTGGCGCTACAGTTAAAAGATGTACACGTTTGTGGTGCGAGATGAAAATAGCAGCATCTATGCTGAAGTCTCTAAAATTCTCCTCTCCACTGGACAATGGAAGAGGCTCAAAAGAGATAATCCCAGATTCAACCTCATGTTGGGCGAGAGAAACAGGCTGCCTTTTGGGAGACTGGGTAAGCAAGCCGCACGCGTGAACTTGGGCACACCCGGCTGGGTCGGGGGGACGCAAAGCATGAGGCGACCTTTCTGTGGAGCTCGTCGGGAAGAAGGGGGTCCCTGGCTTTTTCGAAGCCCCGGCACCTGATCGGCCTCCAAGACCCACCGATCTGCGTGCGGCGGCCGAAGTTTGGAAGTGCTGGCGAGAGTGGTGCGGTAGGAAACGCCTGCCAAATCGGGGTCTGCAGATGTTAGCAATGGGGTGTTGTCTGCTGCAACACGGGAGTGATTTTATCCTTAGCAAGCCAATGAGATTAGCTGGATGCCAGGTTGTGAAAAGGCTGGATGTGTATCTGTTGGGATTAGAAAATATTGCAAGCAAATACAGGTAGTGAGATGGGGTTTTTCATGTTCTTGTTTAAACCGGGGTAGAATCATCCGATAAGTTAGCATTGTTATTGAAATCTTTATTTTGCAACAATTTATTTACTCTCCTGGAAAACAGATATCTAAAATCAAAATAAAATTACAGTAATATAATTTTTACAGCTTTCACAACAATTGCTGTTGTATTTAAGTTGATATGTCAGTGATTTTTTTTTCCAATTTGAATGCAACTTCTCTGCACTCCACTAGCCATGATTGGGATTCTCATGTGTATTTAACATTTGCTGACTCCTTTGGCCATTGGGAAAAAAAGCCCTTTTTTTTTGCTTTTGCAATAATATTTTAGATTGCTCAGCAATAACAAACTATTCAGCATGGTTGTGCCAGATATCAGGTATCAAGTTCTCTGCTTTTTTCTTCAAGTTGGTTTGAACTGGATGCAGGGTATATTTAAATAGCCTACAGACTGGGTTTTCTATGAAGAGTGAATTTTAAAGACTGGATATATTTGTTGAAATGATTCATAATAAAAGTAGAAAGAAAAGTCTCTAAGCATTACTAATTTCCATAACCCATTGAGAATATTATAGTATACATAGACCCAGTGTTTTTAGTACAGTATGTTTACTCAGAGTGCAGTCCCCATGCACTTGGGAACAAGCTCCAGGAATCTCAAATGGGATTTAGCTTTGAGTAGATGCAACCCTCTGTTGGGTTGTGACTGAGGCCAGGATTATGAATATAATGGATTTTTACAATGATTTTTATTCAAGTGAATTGTGGAATGTTTTTTCCACCCTGGGGTAATCTTTGAGAAATACTAACAATTATTCAGTCAAAAAAGCAATATTTATAAATAAGCAGCAGACTTATTTAACTTGGCATCCTTCGCTCCAACTCCCTGAATTCTCAGTCACTATGACATAAAACTTTTAACTTAATTGTTCAAAGTTATTGCAGTGAAAGAAAATGGATTCTACAATTTTTCTCTTACTATAATTTAAAAGAAGCTTATTTTCTTCAAGTGGAGTATTTTAAAATTCAGTTCATGAACTCTGCATTACTCTTTCAAAAGCAAAGAAGAATAGCTTCCTTTTATATAGTGACTTCTTATATTATTGTGATGTTAGATAGCCACAACAAACATTCCAGTTGCTGTTAAATCCATGCAGCTTTCACTGGCATCAGAAGGAGACAACTGTCCAGGCCTCTGGATGGCCTTGGTTGGACTCATAAGTTGAGTAGGATTGAGCCTGGTTAGAACTTAAGTGGGTACCTCTAGAGCAGGCATGTCAAAGTGCCAGCCGGTGGGCTGGTTGCATCATGCTGAAACCGCACCCACCCCATTGCCAGCAATGGGGGAAAAGTCATGAAACGTGCGATGTCACAGTATGTCCCGTGACATCACGTGACATCGCGAGTTTGACATGCCTGCTCTAGAGAATTCTAGGGCTATGGAGTAGACTGAAGTCACCAAAACCATCCTCCATCCCCCAAGACAGTGGCAAACTACTACTATTATACTCCTGCCAAGAAGATGACTTGGTTATTCCACATAGGCACAAGGAATTGAGCTCAACTTGAAAGGCTTTATTTCTATATATGTATAGTTAATCTGTAGGTCCCATTGGATTTAGTCTTCTTACATAATTGAAGATAAGTCAATTGATGTAGCTTCTAAGCATTGTAAATAAAGAATGATATTTTATATAAAAATTAAAATAGATTATCCAAGAATAAGGGCAATTACTAAAAGAGGGCTGGGCTCTCCACTGATTTTTTTTTTTAAAGTTGGACAGTTCTCTGTTAAGAGATGCTTTAATTTGGATTCTTGCATGGAGTAGCAGATTGGACCTGAGGATCTAACTGGCTTCTTTTAATTCTACAGTGGTGTGACTTGCTGAATGTGGGAAATGACCTGGAATGAATAGAACAGTAGGACCAAGTCCTATGAGTATGTTTAGCTAAGAATATTACCCCTGAAGGTAATAGCATAGCCATCTTCAATTAAACACTAGAACAAATCTGTCCTTTTTGATTCTCGAAACTTCCACAAGTTTGTGTGTGAATTGTCTACAACTCCATTCTTGCTCACTGATAATTATGTAGCCTCAAAACATTTCAAGATCACAAGTTTGAGAAAGCATGCTCCAGAGGGTAAACTCTGAACCAATAGACCAGTGGTTCTCAACCTGTGGGTCGGAACCCCATTTGGGGTCGAATGACCATTTCACGGGGGTCGCCAAACAACGCAGCCCGCCATTTTTTTCCCCTTTTCCTTAGCTGTGCTACTCCCTTTTATTCTATTGGCTTTTGAAAGCCAATAGAATGGACTCTCTTGAATAGACTCTAATTCTATTGGCTTTCAAAAGCCAATAGGAATTGTCCAGGCTGTCTCTGCCCTGCTGAGCCCACCAAAAGTCCCATTCTGCAAACGGTGCTGCACCAGTTGAGTAGTCCTCGACTTAAGACCGGTTGAGTAGTCCTCGACTTACGACCGGTTGCGGGTCGCAGCATTAAAAAGGTTGAGAACCGCTGCAATAGACTAATATTTTAAAAAGGATTTTTTAGAAAATATTTAACGAAAAGTAAAAAAGTGTAAAAGTGCTTTGTGCACTTAAACCATATCCTAACACTAATCTATTTTAGCCTATAATAATAAGAGGTGGGAGAGCTCATGTTTTTGAAGCTGCAGGGAAAAAAAACAGAGGAGAAAGCAAGCCATCCTAGAAAATGCAAAATACTGCAAAAAACAATATAAAAGTAATGAATCACACCCAAAATCCTGCTTTAAAGCAACAGAGACTATTGTGGTACCTTAAGATCTCTAGAACTGCTTTTCACTCTTAGTTCCTGAAAAATGATTCATTACATTTGAGTTAGAAAGATGTAATTGATTTACGTGCAAGTTACAGATTTCTATTCAATACAAACCAGAAGTGTCAAACTGCCAGCCCGCAGGCCGGTTTCGTCATACCGAAGCTGCACCCACCCCATTGCCAGCAATGCAAAAAGAGTCGCGATACGTCACAACACGTCATATGACATGGCAAGTTTGACACCCGTGATATAGACTATACCTCTTGCTTTCCAAATACTATTCTTTTGGATATTTAGAGTGGTTTAACACTAATAGTTCTCTGGCATCCTTGGATTCTTGACAAAAAATAGCTCTCCTTTGAGTTTTCTAGTAAAATAAAAAATGTGTATTTAGAATAGATGTATGGCCATAACATTGCAGCCATGATTTTTATACAGAACCTTATCCTGGTTAAGCAAACCAAACAAGACCCTATGATCCATTTATTAAAAGAAGAGGCAGAATCATTGAAACTGCCTTGAGGTATTGTGCTCATATGAGATTTCTGCATTGCTCTGTTCTCTTGGTTGCACCTCCTTCCACAGAAGCATCTACTCTCTGATTTACACCTGCTGCAAATCTTTGCCATGATTTCAAAAAGAATAGACGTTACTTTTGCTTCTATTTTTGAATTTGAAATGAAATAAACGTGTAATTGGACTCTTGCCACCCTAAAAGTCAGCCCCACTGTCTCCCCTGGCCAGTATATTGCCTGGAAGTAAGTGAAATTATAGTCCAATACATCTGGAAGACATCAGTTTGGAATCAGCCGCTAAGTGATAATAGCAGTTGCTTAATTTAAAATAGGATGAGTGCTCCAGCAAATGCCAGGCTATATAATGTCATAAACATTCTGACTGTATAACAGGTTATGTGTTTGTTTGTGCTGAAGGCCATTTTCAATGTTGGAAGTGTATGAATAAGCAAAGTAACATGCTACAGCAAAAAGTTTAAAGAAAAATATGCATATTTAAGAAGTATTCACTATGCATGAGTAAATTTAGCTGCAGCTACCAAGTAGTAAGTCACCTTTCAGCAGAAGGCGAAATCCTGTGGAACATCTTATACTACAAATTATTTGTGATAGTGTAAATGTTGGCATGGTTCCTTTGTCAGACATCTGATGTCTTTCAGTTTCCCATGGCTGAAACTGGAACTACTATAATTTCTGGGCCAAGAAATTACTCTGGCAATATTTTTTCCCCCGATAGGTATTTATACACTGTTAATGATACCAAGGCTGGGGATGGATGGATTTTAGGAAATTGTTTGATTGCTCTTTTAAATGCAACAGTCCTGTTAGCAAAGAATTAGTTAGGCTGAGCTATCCTGTATCTGTTTCTTCCTCAAATTCTGCCTCTATGTTAAAAACAAAACTTGAGGATAAAGGGCTCAGAATCCCTCGCTAGCGGAGAAATACTGATACTAAAGAAACTATTATATAGGCAGTGACTTCTAGTTCAGGTTGTATTTGCTACTTTTGACCTAGGTTTCCCTTGATTTGAGAGGAAAATGATTTGATTACTCTTGCTTAAGGGGTAACAAGAGAATGGCATAGGCATAATATTTTCATTATTAAGACTTTTACATAATACGTATAATGTTCTGGGTTTGAAGCATAAATATATGAATATAGCACCATTCATGCCTTTTTTCCTGGGATGACATCACAGCTCTGGAGGGCTGAGGATAGCTCGTCATCCTGACAAATGGATGCTTTGAGGAGTTATCAACTCCTGTGTAAGCAGCTTTGTGCACTGCCCAGCCATAAAATTGATACTTTACAACCACCTAAACCAATATGCTGCTCCACGTGGTTTAGAGTTACAGTTCCCCAAATTCCTAGCCAGCACAGCTAAGTCTAACAAGTGGTTAGGCCACAAGCTTTCGTGAGGCCAGGCTGGCTGCAAATGTTCCAACATACCTGGAGATTGCCAGGTTGGAAAAGCTGCCCGTGTTGGTTTTGACAGATAAGGAAAAGATACTGGGTTTTTGCTATCCTTTATAAAACTTGAAGAAAAATCTTAATAAACTGAAAAAAGCATGGAAAAGTAATGAAATTATTAAAAGCAAATCTTGCCAGAAGAACTGAAACTAAAGCAATTAGAACCGAGGATTGAATAACATGAGTCAGCAGTGAGAGAGGTCTTTTTAAAAGACTAATGATTTGCATTAGCAGAAGCTTTTGGTTCATCAGCACCATAAACAGGGAGAAAGTGACAAAATTGTATTATGAGGTCATGATACAAACCTTGTGACTTATATACTTGTCTCCAGTGTTAAGACACAGGTATGAAAGGATAGAGATTGTGTCCTGACATCACTGCATGGATGTCATCTTTTTTATATACTGTAATTGTGGTTATCTGCGGATGTTTCTGTTCATGTCCAGCTTTCAAGAATGGTACTGGATTTAGTAGTGTTTGAATAAGGGCTCATCTGGTGATGCAATTGGTCCACATTAGGATACTTTGGGGCTTTCCACACATTATTCATTCATGCCCAGTTTCACACAAAGAATATTAGTGCTGCATGGTATCTTTATGTAATGAAGATGAGAGACATTTATAGGAGGGAAGGGAAGATTGGGTTGCAGAATAAGTAAGACTGGTCTTTTAAAAAGAAAGCAGTGTCTATAGTATTGCAAAAATGAAATTACAGCCTCTAGAACAGGGGTTCCGTGCCAGGGGTGCGAGACGATATTCCAGGAGGTACGAAAACTTGGGTTTTCAAAATTATAGTGTATATGCATAATTCGTTGCCATTATTTTGAACTTTTGTAAGAGGTGCGAGAATATATCAGAAGCGTTCTAGCGATGCGAGGTATAGAAAAGGTTGGGAGCTCTAGAAAGTGAGAACTTGAAAGACAATAACCCTGAAGAAAAATAACAATCTTTAGGGATTTTTGGAATGACAAGCAAAGTAGACTGCAATGATTTATTTCCTTTAATTTAAGAAAAAGATCAATAGATGGTGGCTTTTCCTGCCTTAATTGACAAATCAAAGTCTCTGCATCTAAAATTTCAGTTCATCAGAACTGATTAAGAAAATAGAATAAAAGCTTTCTGGCAAGAATATGAAGTATTCTTTTGAAGAGCATGAAGCTCCAATCAGTGTCAATTGTGGTCTTAGACTTTCTGCATATTCACATTTTTTAGAAAAAGAACAAAAACAAGAAAAAATAGAAAACATTCTGCATATGTAGTTTTTACATATTATATTGAATCTTATTTTTTTATTTATTACTGTTGTCAATTTTGAGGGTTTTGAGGCTTTAAATTTATCCCCTCAATATGCTTCTGATTCTGAAAACTGTAGGTTGTTTAGATTCTTTTACATATTATCTGGGAACCGTAATGTTCTGATTCAGTAGTTATAGTTACTACAAAGTAATAGACAATATGGAGGAGGGAATAAAGGGGAGCAATGTACAGAAATCTTGTCCTACTGCATTCGTTTTTCTAAAAGAAAATATCTGTTCAAAATTTTTAATGTTTCCTATTTGTCTGGAAACCCCCCCCCCCAAAAAAAGATATTGAGGTAGGAATACACAAGTTTCTCTCCCCCTCTCTCTAATTATATTTTTTTTTACTCTCAATTTTAACTTTTTAGCAAGATTATACCATCTATATATAGCTGGGCAGGTTCCTCTGAAAATCTGTAGCCCTCAAATTTTATTTGTTCATTAACCATTTTTTTGTTTATGCTGGGTTACTAGTCTAATGCCTCTATTATATCTAGTGCAGTAAAATCCTTTCACTAATCAAAAATGTTAGGATAACTACTGAGCTTACTGGATTATATTTTTCCATTTTGTTTAAGCACCAACTCTTTTATTCTCTCAATAGCCATTGTTTCCATTCCAGGAAAAGTTTTTTGCTTACTGGTCCTCTAGTTAGTACAGGGTCCCCAACCCCCAGTCCATGGACCAGTGCCAGGCCGCGGCATGACAGGAAAGCCCCATCCAGAGGATGCAGGCAGCACACAAAACCACACCCCCTCCACGTAACCAGTCCCTGGTGCCCAAAAGGTTGGGGACCTCTGCTGTAGTATTTTTGGGGTAGGGGGAATGGAATCCATCTTCACTTCTCTTTATTAACTGTGGCAATACTTGCTAAGTACATTTGACAAAGGAGTCTAAACATTAGAATATTTCCCTAATTTTGTCAAATTCTTCAAGCAGCCCTACCAAAACAAGGGCGAGCAAGCCTGAATCCAGTTAAACCTAGATCTTATTCCAAACTTGTCATGTAACACAGAAGTCCCCAACATTTTGAGCACCAGGAACCGGTTCCGTGGAGAGAGGTTTTTCCGTGAACAGGAGGGGACATGGTTTCATGTACTGCCTGCATCCCGCGGATGGGGCTTTGCTTGTTTGCGTGGATTGGTTTCTGGCATGCCGCAACCTAGTGCTGGTCCGCGGACCGGGGGTTGGGGACCCCTGATGTAACATGCTCAGAGCAACTTCTTTTCAAGAGCTCATCTAGTTGCTGGTTAGGTATTGTGAGTGCTTTGCAGGAATTTCTGATCAAAAATTAATCCAAAATTGGTCAAAAGATTCCCCCCCCCCCAGAAAGATTTGCTGATCAATGAGGCAATTCAGACTTTTCCATAAAAATATGAACTCCCTTCATATTAAAGCAAAGATAGTAAGATGCCTAGGTTCAGTGTGATTTTGTTGCTTGCAAATGATTTCCAGCATCAATTAGTGCAGTCTTGGAATCTGCCTTATAAAAAATCATTCTGTTTGTCCTCTTCATCCTTTGTCCTGCTGATCATCTCAATATCTGCTGACAGATCCCTCCATATTTCATGGTGCTAGGAACTGAATCTGTGATGTTGCTGCATGCAAAGCAGTTTGTCTTCTACAGAAGTGTAGAAAAATATAAGATATCTAATTTCTTCTAGGAAGTCTTCACATTATTTTTGTTGATCTGGAACTAGATGGAGATAGCAATATTCTTTCATTATTTAGATAGTGTTATTTCAGACATGTCAAACACAAGGCTCAGGTGGCCGGATGCGGCCCGCAAAGTGGTTTCATGTGGCCTGCGAAGCCATCCTGGAAACTGAGGGAATGGCACTCTCTGCCTTGGCCCTGGCCCAGGCCAGCTGTACAATTTTGTGGTGGCCATCTATGCTGAAACACATTCAGTCTTAGCTCCATAAGTACCCCCCCCCCCGGCATGGCCTGAGAGGAACAGTGAGGCTCCTCCAGTGGACCATGCCTTGGCACCTGCCCTGGTCCAACCCCCTTCTAACAGAGACCCTCAGATCTGTCCCACTCCTGCCCAGGCCCTCACAAGCACCCTTGACACAAACGATGTAGAGCTGGCCACACCCACCCAGTAAGCCACACCCACTCCATCCACGCCCACCCAGTAGGCTGAACTCACCCTGGCCACACCCAACCAGCCCCCTGAGGGCAACCGCAATGCTGATGCGGCCCTCAATGAAATTGAGTTTGACACCCTTGTGTTATTTATTAGCCCATGCATAATTATGGTGAGAGTTCTTAATCATCTTCCAAAAATATGTATGTAAATCAAATATATGCAAGATATACAAGTTGCTGATGTTAAAAATGTTGCGGTAAACAACTTTTTTATTTTTAAGAAAGTGGAGATTAATAATGGTATTATCTATATAAATACTTCTTTATTTGTTTAAAAAAACATTTCCAGAATGCAAACAGCATGGATATTAATATTCCCTTTTCATAGGTCATGAACCCGGACTTACACAGTTGGTGAACTACTACAGAGGGGCTGATAAACTTTGTCGAAAAGCTTCTTTAGTGAGGTAAGATATTTTTACTTGCTTCTTTATATGTAATAGTGGGATCCATACTGCCTTTTGTCAATCTCCTGCAGTTGTTCCTGCATCTAAACACTTGTTCAGCTTGTTACTGGTTAATCACTGCAACTGTTTTAGATGTGGAAAAGAGCAAATGCTTATAAAAAAAGAAAAAGAAAAAATGTGAATACAAATGAGCAGCCAAAGATGATGTTTCTTATCTGTAAAAATAAAAGAGGTTGTGAGTCTTAGTGCATGACCATTCAGCGTAAATGTAGATAAAATTAATTGAGTATTTTGTTCTCCATCTTAATAAAAGGATTGTGGACATTGGATTTCTGGAGGGCAGCTCATTTGTGCTTGCTGTTGGGCTGCTTTGTTACTGTGTATGTAGTTAGCTTTATTTAGATGTCTGGTTGCCTTTTGGGGAGCAAATCCCTTGGAATTCTCCTCTAGGTTACCTTCTCAGTGCTGCCATTGACAGTCAATTGATTTCAAATACAGGAAATTTCCTGCTGCCTTGTGACTTCAAACTGGCATTGCCTCATTTTCAGATATGGATGCTCAATAATTACTTTCAGGTCATAGATCTTGGGAACTGGAATGAGTTTTGAATGTAATTGATGACCTTCTGTTCATTTTCCTTAATAGCAGCAAAGCAAATACTTTTCTTGAATGTAGAGCTTTCTTTCAACTTTTAAGGCTATGAAATGCCAAGTATTTTTTTTTAAATCAATAAGTAATATGACTAGAGTTATTACTTTATAATTCTTTCAGAATTGTGCTATTGGGCTAAAAATTGCATGACAGTCCACTCTCAGTGAAAAGGAGTGCTAGAGGGCATGTTTTAATGGACAGTACACATTTGGATTATATGTGACCTTTATGCTCTGTTGATTTACATTTACTAATAAGCCTTAAGGATATGAAATCCATTAAGTGCTGGCTGGCATTTCTAATCTCTAACCTTTCTTGAAACATAAAATAAAATGTTTGTGGGCTTTGCCAAATGTTTTATTGTGTTTTAGGATTCATTTAAAAATCTTGCAAAATGAGTAGCAGGTTCGCCCTTTGGTTATAAGAAATTTTAACTGGCACAACAATATCTTCTTCTTTAAACTGTTGGTAAATTTGATTCCAAACCAGTCTTCCCCAGCCAATCATTTGTAGAATATTTGTTATTCTCCAAGTAAATGTGTCTGATCCATTAATCCAGGGGTCCTCAACCTTGAATTCTGGGAGTTAAAATCCACAAGTCTTAAAGTTGCCAAGGTTGAGGTTGTTGTTGTTAATTGCGAAGTTGTGTCCGACCCATCGCGACCCCATGGACAACGTTCCTCCAGGTCTTCCTGTCCTCTACCATCTTCTGGAGTCCATTTAAATTCACACTTACTGCTTCAGTGACTCCATCCAGCCATCTCATTCTCTGTCGTCCCCTTCTTCTATTGCCCTCAATCTCTCCCAGCATTAGGCCCTTCTCCAGTGAGTCCTTCCTTCTCATTAGGTGGCCAAAGTATTTGAGTTTCAACTTCAGAATCTGGCCTTCTAAAGAGCAGTCGGGTTGATCTCTTCTAGGACTGACCGGTTTGAACGCCTTGCAGTCCAAGGGACTCGCAGGAGTCTTCTCCAGCACCATAGTTCAAAGGCCTCAATTTTTTTGCGCTCAGCCTTTCTTATGGTCCAACTTTCACAGCCATACATTGCAACTGGGAAAACCATGGCCTGGGCTATACGCACTTTTGTTGGCAGGGTGATGTATCTGCTTTTTAGAATGCTGCCTAGATTTGCCATAGCTTTCCTCCCCAGGAGCAAGCGTCTTTTAATTTCTTGGCTGCAGTCCCCATCTGAGGTGATCTTGGAGCCCAGAAAAATAAAATCTGTCACTACCTCAATTTCTTCCCCATCTATTTGCCAGGAATTGAGAGGGCCAGATGCCATGATTTTGGTTTTCTTAATGTTGAGTTTCAAGCCAACTTTTGCACTCTCTTTCTTCACCCGTATCAAGAGGCTCTTTAGTTGCTTTTCACTTTCTGCCATTAGAGTGGTATCATCTGCATATCTTAGGTTGTTGATATTTCTCCCGGCAATCTTAATTCCAACTTTTGATTCATCTAGCCCTGCCTTTCTCATGATGTGCTCTGCATATAAGTTAAATAGGCAGGGCAACAGTATACAGCCTTGCCGGACTCCTTTTCCAATTTTGAACCAATCAGTGGTTCCATGTTCGGTTCTCACTGTTGCTTCTTGACCCGCATATAGGTTTCTCAAGAGACAAATGAGATGGTCTGGTACTCCTATCTCTTTAAGAACTTGCCACAATTTGTTGTGATCCACACAATCAAAGGCTTTAGCATAGTCAATGAAGCAGAAGTAGATGTTTTCTGGAACTCCCTAGCTTTCTCCATGATCCAGCGTATGTTGGCAATTTGATCTCTAGTTCCTCTGCCTCTTCGAAATCCTGCCTGTACTTCTGGTAGTTCTCGATTGAGGACCCCTGCATTAATCCATTTAAAACATTCTTAAATTCTTATTCAGCTTTATGCCATTATTTTATTTTAAATTACTAGTTAGCTTTTTTTCTATTTTGAGTTGAAGTTTTACTCACTACCTATTCACCAGGTAGTTTTTCAAATTGTTGTTTGAAAGACATCTTTTAACTGTAAAATAATTGTAAATCCAAAGGTGATTAGAAAACAAGGTGGTTGAATCCAGTGTCCTTAAAGACTCTGTCTCTGTTAAGACCTTGATGGTTTTCTGTCTCCTGGTGCTAAGACCTGCAGGATGACTATTAACCTGCAGTTTCCTCATGAGGAACAGCCATCTGGAGAAGAATCTCTCATCCTCTCCTTTATTCAGAAGGATTCTGTTAAACTGAAATTGCTGCGAGGCAATTGGTCACTGCTATGACATCATCTCTGCTGTTTCAGAGACAGCTATTTCACCATTTACTTCATCCAAAACTTGATTTGATAATGCCTGGGATTTTAAAAGTTACAACATATTTAGAGAGTGCAAGTTGGGTGGGGAAGTCTATCCTAGAATTGTCAAGCCATTTGATTGAAGATAGCAGCTGATTGTGAGCAAGATCATTTTACAAAAAATACTTTAAAATGAGCTTGTCAGGTTTGGAAGATAAAACTTGTGCTGGTGGTTGTAAGTATAATTTTAATTTTAAGGAGCTTTCTTTCATTTTCTTATAATATGGAAAAAATGTACAGAAAGAGATGCTTTTTCTCTTTTGCTTATAATACCAGATCTGAACAATTCTAATAGGTTTGAATGGTGGCAGGTGTAGAGGTAGATAAAAGGAAGTACTCATTTAGGACACAGTTAAATTGTACAGGTTATTACGCATCAAGCATCACAAAATACATTGGTTGCCACCATAAAATAGCTTTAAGGCAGTGGTTCTCAACCTTTCTAATGCCGCGACCCCATAATACAGTTCCCCATGTTATGGTGACCCCCAACCACTTATACATCACCGGGTGCCAGGGGCATGGCCAAAGAAAAGGGGAAAAAAATGGTGGACAGCCTTGTTTGGCGACCCCCGTGAAATGGTCGTTCGACCCCAAATGGGGTCCCGACCCACAGGTTGAGAACCACTGCTTTAAGGTAATAGGGTGTATTATAGGATTAGAATGTATTTCATAAGGGATAAGATTATCAGAATGTGCCACCTTTCCCCCAAGATCAGGATCATCATGTTCAGTAATTACTTGCAGTAACATGACTTGTTCCCATGTCTTCTCTATGAGTTTCCTGGAGGTCGAGTAGCTGGCTGCTTTGGGATCAGAAAGCCAGAGGTCTTTGGCTGATCCACTGGAATTGTTTTTTTAATGACAGGGAAATAAAAGGGGCTTCAGCAGACAGGAAGGGCTATAAAGTCCTTAATTATGTAATTAATGTAGAATGATAACATGTATTTGAAAACTAGTATGAACTATTGTTCTGGAGGAGGCCTCATTCTTAGGGATGATATACTGATCGTTTCAGTCACCGGGCCTTGGATCCGAAGATCTTAGGTTACAGGTTTGAAGAAGACATCAGATCAAGGTTTTGGAATATGTCTTTCATGACAGCTACCTTAGAACAGCATTCAGCTCAGTATTAACTACTTTGAGTACCAGTAGTTATCAGGAGTTTTTGAGTTTTTCCCCTTATCTAGATATTAAAGAAACTGAAGCGCCTACGTTCCAAGTAACTTGTCTACTAATAAGCTGTATTTGTCCTTCAAGACATATGTAGATGAACAAGGAATAGAGAATGTATTATCTCCATCATAGGAATATTTTCCAAAAATTAGTTTTCCTATAGTTTTGGAAATACATGCATTGAGAAATAGAGTCACTGGGTTACTGTATTAATTTTCGTACTGTGTTCTGGAAAACAGAAATTATTGGATTGATCCAAATGTGTTAGAGACAATTGGCAGTAATATGAAAGATGTTTAAATCAACAAGATCAGCTAAGATATCTCCCTCCCTCTCTCTCTCCGTCCCTCCCTCTCTCTCACTCTCTCTCTCTCTCTGTAGATTAATCAAGACAAGTCCTGAATTGGTGGAGGCTTGCACATGGTTTCCAGAATCCTATGTGATTTATCCAACCAATTTAAAGACACCGGTAGCTCCAGCTGAGAATGGGCTTCAACATCTGATAAACAACACAAGAACAGATGAAAGAGAAGTCTTTCTGTCATCCTATCAGAAGAGGAAAGAGAGTGGAGAAGGAAATGTATGGATAGCTAAATCTTCAGCAGGAGCCAAAGGTTAATTTCTTTCAGACTCTGGAATGCATTACTTTTATTTGTGTAATTTTTTTATTTATCCAAGAGAAGTTAGGGAGCCATGGAGTATAAAAACCATGGCTTATTAATAAAAAAGATTCCATATTCAAATTCCAACTTTTCTACTTAATCACTGATTGGCTTTGATTCAGACATGTTTTCCTGGCTTCCATTGGTAAATTAGTACTTTATGCTAAGCCACAATTTGTGGTGTGTTTGTTTTATACCTAGTGTGTCACATGAGCTCAACTGTTGCATTTTTCAATCAAAGTTTTGGGCTTATTGGAATACAGGAGCAATTGTGGCCTATTTGACAAACCATGGTATAGCTTGATATGCAAAGTCAGCCAGGATTATGTGCTGGGAGGCAGGCAGAATTTGATTAAAATTGATGGAGAAAATTAACAGAATCTGGAAAAAGAGATTGGTACTAAAGCCAACTTAAAATTATTCCCTTCCCTGAGGTCAAATTTTGTGTGGTAGCTTTCTTGCAGATCTGTTGAGACCACAACTTCACTGACAAAGATAATTGAGTGAGAAAAGTAATCCTGTTTTTTGGGGCCCAGCAACTGCAGCCAAAGTTTTATTACTATACCAGGGGCCTAGAAAACTGATTTTTCTTGCAGATCTTTCATTACCTGGCTAGGTAACATCTTCAGTGCTAGAAGAGAGTAAATACAGAGCTTGCCCTGTCAGTATTGGTGGGGGTGTATTTTTCTCCTTAGTACTTCCTTGATTTCATCTATGCTCCAGCCAGGTAATAAAATACCTACAAGAAAACAGTCAAGCTCAGAGAGAACCAAAGACTCCACAGTTCAACTCTTGAGTTACTCTCCTATCTTCTCTCTTCTATTGATATTAAACTCCAAAAACGTTTTGAGTTACAATTCTAAGAATGCTAGGGTTGGATTGTTGATATTTGTTTTTTTTCAATTAGGTGAAGGAATTCTTATTTCTTCAGAGGCTACTGAACTTCTGGATTTTATAGATAATCAAGGACAAGTGCATGTGATTCAAAAATACCTGGAGAAGCCTATGCTCTTAGAACCAGGCCATCGCAAATTTGATATTAGGTAATGATTTGCTTTTTAAAAAATATTTTGTATCTGAGGTGCTTCTCATTAATTTTCTGTCAATTTAGGTTTGTTCAAATGCAGTGGATATGTGCATTTGTATTCTTTTTTTAGTTTTATGTAAATATTTATTTTTAATTCACTTTAATTACCACACATTGTCAAATATTTGTTATTAAATCTGCTTCTTCTGATTTGAAATCGTGGCACCTAATTTTGATTTTTGTTTTGTTTTAAAAACCTATATACTGTAATATGTTGTTTTTCTAACTTTTAGAAGTTGGGTCCTAGTGGATCACCAGTATAGTATCTACCTCTACAGAGAAGGTGTTCTACGGACCTCTTCAGAACCTTACAATAGTGCTAATTTCCTGGACAAAACCTGTCATTTAACCAATCACTGCATACAGAAAGAATATTCTAAAAACTATGGGAGATATGAAGAAGGGAATGAAATGTTTTTTGGAGAGTTTAATCAGTACCTGGTGAATACTTTGAACATTACTTTAGAAAATACAATCTTACTGCAAGTCAAAAATATAATAAGGTATGTATTTGTCTTTCATTTTCATCCCAGCCTATCTGCAAAAAAAGCAAAAAAAAATTTCCACAGTTATTCATATATTATCTGCACTATAACAACCTGAGACTAGAGGCCAAGAGGAACTGATATCAAATGTGCTCTCTGGAGGCTATGTGCAGTCTCCCTTGGAATTTGAATAATGAATGTCTCAGAGAATGGAGAAAAGGGACAGGAATTTTCCAGGCTCTCTCCCTCTCCTCCCCCCTCTGCCTCTCTCTCTCTCACACACACACACACAGTTTTTCTCTATTTGTAGTGACATTTAATATATACAGGGGCTTTAGCTCCTTTTTTTTGCTACATGAAAACAATTCTAGGAATACCCAACAGTTTCCTTCTCCATTACAGGTAGTCCTCAAATTATGACCACAGTTGAGCCCACATTTTCTGTTACTGAGTGAGACAGCCTTAAGTAAGTTTCACCGCATTGTATGACCTTTTTTATCACAATCGTTAAGTGAAACACAGTAGTTATTAGTAACATAGTTGTTAAGTGAATCTGGCTGCCGCATTGACATAGCCTGTCAAAAGGTCACAAATGGTGATACATGATCTTGGGACACTACAACCATCGTAAATACATGCCGGTTTCCAATTATCTGAATTTTGATCATGTAACCATGGTGATGCTGCAGTGGTTGTAAGTGTGAAAAAGATCATAAGTAACTTTTTTCACTGTTGTTAATTTCAAACGGTCACTAAACAAATGGTTGTAAGTGGAGGACTACCTGTAATTAATGTTTCTACCATTTTGTATGTCATAAGGCAAGTTTAATCAGGCACAATGCTTCTAGGTGTCTGTCTATAGCAGTGGTTCTCAACCTTTTTAATGCCGCGACCCCCAACCGGTCGTAAGTCGAGGACTACTCAACCAGTCGTAAGTCGAGGACTACTCAACTGGTGCAGCACCGTTTGAGAATGGGACTTTTGGCGGGCTCAGCAGGGCAGAGACAGCCTGGAGAATTCCTATTGGCTTTTGAAAGCCAATAGAATTAGACTCTATTCAAGAGAGTCTATTCTATTGGCTTTCAAAAGCCAATAGAATAAAAGGGAGTAGCGCAGCTAAGGAAAAGGGGGAAAAAATGGCGGACTGCATTGTTTGGCGACCCCCGTGAAATGGTCATTCGACCCCAAATGGGGTCCCTACCCACAGGTTGAGAACCACTGGTCTATAGCAAGCCTGCTTTCCAGAAAACATCCTTAATGCGTATCATTAGGATGACTTGCATCATGTTAAGTCCATTACCTGCTACGGAATGCTACTTGTAAACATTTGTGCTGAAGTGAAAAGTTTAAAAAGTTAATACAATTAATACAATTTAAAAATTTAATACAGTTTAATACAATTTAAAAAGTTTAAAAATGTAATACAATTCCTAAAATAAAACTCAGGAAGTTAAAGACGCTAACCTTGTCAGCAGGAAAGCTTACAGCCTGGGCTCAAGGCCTGAGTGCTATGTGACGGAGTGAGCTCCCATTACTTTGTCCAACTCCTGCCCACCTAGCAGTTTGAAAGTATATAAATGCGAGTAGATAAATAGATACCACTTCGGTGAGAAGGTAACAGCATTTCGTACACCATGGCATATAGTCATACTGGCCCTATAGGACCAGCGAAAGGGTCATCGGACAATGCTGGCTCCCTCGGCTAAGAAATGGATATGAGCATCGCCTCCTAGAGTTGGTCACAACTGGACAGGGGAAACCTTTACTTTTACTTTAGATAATCTGTAAGGCAATTTGGCATAACTTAACTGTCTGTCGAAAGAAAACCCTCCATTGATAGTTTTATTGTACGCTTTACTAATTTTGGACAGTGTAGATTTTTAAACGTTTAATACAAAATCAATTAAAATCCTACTTGTTGGGCTGCAGATATGCTGGACCTCAACTTCCACAATTTCCCACCACCTTGACCAGTGCAGTTATATGGAGTGAAATACAAAACAACTGGGAAACGGGTCCTGGAAAACAGCCATAAATAATTAACTGTTTATACAAGATACTGAGTCAAAACTATAAAACTACATTATGGATTTAATGCAATCTGTGAATTCATTCAGTGAGTAAATTCTACCATCTAATTCTTCTCAGTGCCTTTACTGAGAAGAATTAGTATTGGCATTTCTTTTTAGTCCCCTGATTATTCAATTTAAGTATTGTAGGTGTTGGACAAAGCATAATTTAAAATAATTCAGTGATGGGATATTTCATTCTATTCACAGAAGCTGCCTTATGTGTATAGAACCTGCTATCAGTACCAAACATCTTCATTATCAGAGTTTCCAGCTCTTTGGTTTTGATTTCATGGTGGATGAGGACTTGAAAGTTTGGCTAATTGAAGTCAATGGTGCTCCTGCATGTGCCCAGTAAGCATCCTTTTAAATGTCCCCTTGAATATGTGAATGGTGCCATAATGTCTTCCTTGGAGTTTATTGTAAAACTGTTGTGAACCGATAAGACTATCCATAGCCAGTCTTTGGATAGGTGAACCATAAATTCTAACTTTTTTCCTTTCCCTCCTTGCTGGGATTTATTTTACTTGATCTGATTAAATAAATACAAGTCTAGCTGAGTTTGAGGAACTGAATAAAGACTTATTGGAAAGCAGATGATCTCCATTTGTGGCATCTGCATGAATTAGATATCTTTCTTTTGCTTCCAAGTCACTGCTTTTAGATCTTTTCCTGCTGGCAGTATTTGCAGGCTGAAGCTCAAAGGAAACCACAACTGTTGCATACTTACGGAAGGAAATCCAGTGTAATCCCTTGAAATGCAAAAGGATCAATTCAAAAAGGCTCCTCCAGTGATACGATTTTTTTTACCATTCCCTTCTCAAGTTTCCCCTACTTCACTGGAAAACTAATTGAAAGCTGTTCTTGCTTTCCCCTGTTAAAGTGGAGAAAGAGGCTATCAGCAACCATTAACACTCTTTTGTGACAAAGAGCTCAGTTAATATTGAAAGATACTAGCATTTCATATCTATTTGTAGTAGCTCAAGATGCTATTTTCAGCTAGTATCAGGAAAACAAATGGTCCAGTGATAAAGAACAAGTGTTCTGATACATTCCTAGATCCATGGTCAGCACCTGCTGTCTCTGCATGTGTTTAATATTTTTTCTGGGAGGGTTGTTGACTTTCATTTTGAATCCTTGTGAATGTTTGATTGATTGGGAACCTAAAAACTATTTTCCTTCCAACAAAATAAAATCAAAATCTTCATCTTTCAATTGAAATATAAAGACTTTATTCTGAGCCTAGTTTAGATCAATTGATTATAAATAATAATAATAATGAAATTGAATGTAAACTGAACTCTCAACCATGATGTCATATCTTACAATTGAATAAGTTTATTAATAATACAGTGTAACATATAAACATATTTTTTTAAAAAAAAAATCAGGATATAGATAAACAGTAGAAGTGATTTTATCAATTTCTTATAGTAATATGATTTTAATTGCTGCAACATCCCAATGTCCATAGGATTTGGGGGATTTTGCTCTCCAAAGGTAAAGAAAGGACTCTGAGAAGAAGAAATCCAACATCGGAGTCACTTTTGTCAGTCTCCAAGCTCAACTTGGAAAGTTTGGTTTCAGGAAGACTCCAAAAGACTCATTGTGGAGCTGGAGATCTGCTGAATTCTACACCCTCTTAATGCTCATTGATTGATTACATGCCATCAAGATGGCAGCAATGTGCTACAGCTGCCCCAAAAGCCAACACAATCTTAGTGTCACAGTTCCAATAGATGAAACCAGTAAAAGAACTTCAAGGCAAGAATTCTTCCTTAAAGAACATTTTATTAGGAAACAAAGTATCAGCACTTACATAGTTGAACCCAAGAATGAGATTCTCTCCTCCCAGATACAAAGTAACAAATTGAAATTCCCACCCCACAAAAGCTGTCATAAATCACATTCCCCAATTAGCACAAAACGTGGGCTTTTTTCTCCGGCCCCTCAACCCACCAAAACCTTATCAGAACATGTCCTTGAGTTCCCACACTTCTACATTGTTATGGCTAGCTAAACCCTCAGGCATTTATCCCATCCCCCCTTCTACATCTAAACTCTAAAAGAATAGAAAAGGCACGTTAAAAGCAAAAATAAAAATGGCTGCTGGTTCTCAGTTGTTATAGTGACGACATCCATTGTCACAGCGTTGACACCTAGTCTGCATTAACAGGGATAGAATCAAGATCATGTCAGTACCACTTTATAATGCATTGGTAAGACCACACTAGGAATATTGCATCTAGTTTTGGTCACCACAATATAAAAAAGATGTTGAGACTAGAAAGAGTGCAGAGAAGAGCAACAAGATTAGGGGAGTGGAGGCTAAAACATATGAAGAATGGTTGTGGGAATCGGGTATGCTTAGTTTAATGGAAAGAAGGAATAGGGGCAACATGATAAAGTGTTCCCATATGTAAAAAGCTGCCATAAAGAAGAGGGGGGTCAGCCTATTCTTCAAAGCACCTGAAAGCAGGACAAGAAGCAATGGATGGAAACTAATCAAGTAGAGAACCAACCTAGAACTAAGAAGAAATTTCTTGACAGTTAGAACAATTAATCAGTGGGACAACTTGCCTCCAGAAATTGATGGTGCTCCAACACTGGAGGTTTTTAATAAGATATTGGACAACAATTTGTCTGAAATGATATAGGGTTTCCTGCTTGAGCTGCAGGTTGGACTAGAAGACTAGTTGCAAGGTCACTTGCAACTCTGCTATTCTTCTGTTAAGATACTTAGTGATCATAAAGATGGATCTTCTACAGGATGGTTGTTATCCTGACTGGCCCTTCAGATCATCTAGTGTTGCATCCATCACCACTATAATCAAGTCCAACTGCCTTGCATCTGAATTATTCCTCTGCAAGGAAAGGGTTTTGAAAAAAGTCAGGATGAAGATGGAGAAATACAGATGACTCTAACATCACTTTTGCCCTTTGACAGAAGTCCAGCATATATTGGCTTTCTTGGCATCAGGGACAGATATTGGATAGCCCTGCCTATAGTTCTAACTGCAGTTTATGAAGCTGTGAAAAATAAAGTAACATATGTGTTCAAGTTAGGAGCACAAAAGCAATGATCTAACAGTTGGGATTCATTTTTGTCTTCTGGGAGAAGTTAATTCTTCTCTCCTATGGAGGAAAAGAAATCCACACTTAAAATCTATGAACATCTGCTGTAGCTTTCAGGAAGAATTGCGGAAGCTTCTGAGCATGATCAAAATCAGTAAGACAATGGTCTTATGAAATCTGTTGCCAGGACCAAAACTGTAGTTATTCTGGATCAATGTTTGAGACTTTAATCAGTATTTTAAAAGTGTAATTTTAATTACTGTTTTCCACTTTTGGCTTTTAGGAAACTTTATGCAGAGCTTTGTCAAGGGATCGTGGATGTAGCCATCTCTTGCATCTTTCCTCTGAATGATACCATTCAAAAACAGAACCAACAATCTGTATTTATAAAGTTGTCATAATTAAGATAAAATGAACACATTGGAAAGCTTCCACCTGTTTGGATCCAGGGAAGACCAAGAAACACTGAACACTGCAGCTGCACATCATGCCAAAAAGAAGAAGGGAAAAAGTGGCATAATTTTTTAATTTCAGAAAAGGAACATTTCAAAGGAAAGCCCCAGATGAACCAAAAAGCTTTCATCAACTCTAAATGTTTTAAAGCATTGTTTCAATAACAAATCCTGTAACCAAAGCCAATCTTTATGTTTGAGGACAACACAATCATTTTTTAAATGTCAGCAAAATCAGGGGTATGATCAAGTCTTTATCTTTTTCCTTCTAATTTAATCAGTTGTTTTAGCAAATGCAAGTATCAGTATCCTTGAGAGACTGAAGAATTTTCCACTAAGAGTTGTGGATCTTTTCTTTCTTTACTTGCTGCAGTTCTAGTGCCTTAGCTTTGTTCCTAACAACTCTCCTAATTTGTTTTGTTTGTACAATGTTGATTTTACACTAAAAAGATGCCCTATTTTGCATGGTATGAAGTTTCTTCAATATCTTTGCCTTTATATATATATTGTGTGTTCATTTTTTTAAAAAAAGTATGTTCTTTGCCAGAAACTAACTGTAGGAGACTGCAAAACTGTATCCTTTTTTCTTCTGAAAAGCTGGCACAATTGCAAAATCTTATTATATTTTTTTTGTTTTTTTGTTTTTTAAAAAAATCTCATCCCTTTGCTTTTTACCTTATGGAAATACTTCTGAGATACTGAAAGGAAGCTTTTAAAGGGCCTTGATCCCATCCTTGTTCCACAAATATTGGTTGAGTTCATGCATTGCATTGACAGTGATGTGTGAATGCACCCAGTAAGGCATCATAATACATGTAACCCAGGCCATTATGTTTTATTCAATAAACCATGCTTAAATTCGGGGTTAAGTAAGCATAGCCATTGTACCTCAATTCGCTTGGCATAGCAAAACAATGGTTTGGTTGTTGAAGTCCACATTATTCCATCTCTTTCTATTATTTGTGAATTTGTATTCCCTTTCTAATTTGTCCAATCTGAGTAAACTGATGCTAATCTCATCCATGGTAACCAAGTCCAAATCACAACTGAAAATCCAGTTAAAATCATGTGCAGGAAGCAAAGTGGTACTAGAGTAGATCATAGTTCAAGGGAAGGTTATTCCTGTCTCCCAAATAAGTGTCAGGGCAATTGTTTTATCCCTGTCCTGCATTTCTTGCCAGCATTAAGTAATTCCAAAATAATACAGTTAGGTTCAGGTATGTACTACACTAAAGTTTGTCACTACATCACAATTGGTTGGTTTGCATAAGCTGAGCCAAATGAAACAAGCTAAATAATGTCTTAGCATATTTTAATTGAAAGCCACTTTGAATGTTTTGTCTTATTGGAAAAGTGGCATATAACACTGAATAAATTGTACCATGCATGAACTCAGCCAATATGCATCAACAAGTAGAGACCCTTCACTCAGAACCAGCTTTCTCCCTATTGTTCCCCTAGAGAAAAAGAATACATAGAAGAAGAATGGCTAGATCTAGGGAACTTGCTGTCAGTCCATAGGAAGAGAATGGAGTCTGGCAACTCATGTCTTCATTTCATTGGTCCTCTTCTAAAATTAGGGCTGACATGGATATGCAAACTTACTGTCAGCAAGAATACACTCAATGAAGTAACATAACTGATTTTTTATAACCTATAACTGCAAAATATCCTTTCTCAATATTAAAATAGAACTTTCCCACAGATATTTCATGCCTGACCTTCATAAATCGGGCATTCTCTTCTAATGAGAAGATAGCTTCTCCTTATCACTCTGACATAGTTTGCATATTTACAAAAGTCACAGAATCCATGATCTTCCAATCCTAAAATTAACAATTTGATTTTTATTATATAAAAATTAACTGCCTCCTTGCAAGGCTGCTAGTTTCTGTCTTAAGCAAAACATGTTACTTATGCCAAGTGCAATGAAAAAAAAAATACTAAAATATTTCAGGCAAGAATTCTCTTAATATTCAAAGAGGTAGACAAAATAGTTCAGATTATATAACTACACTATCATGATTCCGTGGAAAACATGAGGGTGTCACAAATATAGCTAATAGTGTACTGTAATCAGTCTACAATATAATCTGTTAGTGCCTTCAGAATGTTTAGCAGAAAAGGAGACACTGACTGCAAATGTATATCTTGAACTTATACATACTTACTTATAAATAGGTTCAGTTATTTGAAACTTTACCTAGGGGTACTTGAATCATAGCCTTATGCTGGAAATTTAGGAAGCCACAACACACTTTGCTAATATTTCTTGTTAAGATCATTAAACACATTATATAAATAAATTGTTGTTCTAGATACCACTGCATGTTGCATGCTATAATAGTTTATGTCAAAACTGTAGGACAGCTTTATAACTTAGTAAAATGAAATAAAATTAGCCATTTGTCAGTGGACCAATGAGCATGATATGGCAGATGTAAACCACCAGTTAAAAGTCTTCCTTCTATTGAAATAAAAAAAAAAGATTGATTGAATATTGGGAATTGTTGGAAGACAATTACAGTATTACTCTTAATTGTTACATTCATAAGGTATCAATCCTACTGTACTCAGACTGACTCAGATTGGATGGGAATTACAATACTACTACTTCTACTATTATGTATATTCATGGAGTATAAATTGTGTTGTTCTTATATTGGCTAACATAGGCTTATACTTAAAATTTGCAGTCACATTCCCAAAAAGGTAGAAGAAATTCAGCTAAACCCATTAGGATTAAACCAAGGAGAAATGTTGGAACAGAATGGTAATCTGATTAATTATAATAGAATAGGAAAAAATGGTTTACACACAAGAGAATGCGGTCCTGGATAGAATTCATGGAGGGCCACACATTAGGCTGATAGAAACAAGGAATTGGCAGGACCAAGCAAAAAACTGTCCCAGCCAGTGTTTCTCAACCCTGACAACTTTAAGATGTGTGGACTTCAACTCCCAGAATTCCCCTTGAATACCAACTTTTCGACTGATTAGCTTGCAAGTACATATTCCGAATATAATGAAATAATGTTGGCCTAATACAAATTATGTGGAGTGCTTGCAAACATACAGTATTCCTAAAGGATGGGAATGTTCATAATTTTTGCTTAGGTCACAGTTTTTTTTCAGCTGAGGATGTTCGCTTTGCCATGTTTATTTGACATTAAATGAATCAAGAGAAAGGAGTGTAAGATGTTTGCCACCTTGAATTATTTGCTAAAGTAATAAAAGTGGGATAAAAATGAATGAAATCCATAACTTTTAGATGTGATAGGAAACCAAATTAGGTACTGTAATGTCCTGAATTTTTATGCAATGTCCTAAGTTTACTAGGTAAGTGTAATTTGAGAATTGATATCTTGAGGGACACCCTTTCAGCAGCTCAGTTCTTGTTTGCAATTACTAACTATATTGGCATCCAGGTTTCCTTAGGATATGCCTCATTTTATATAGTAGATGCTGAAATGTTAGTGTTCATGTTTCTTAAAAAATAACATACTTTTCTGTTTATTGTAACCACACTGCCACATCTGTTTGTCCATTAATTATAATTTTCCCCTTATTTTTATAGTGTTATTTCAATGGCGGAGGCAGGATGTAACTGTCAGCAAAAATACTATGATTTTCTTGAATTATGATTATTTGCATTCAGTCCTTGCACAGGCAAAAAAAATGCAGTGCAATGTTATTTTCCTTTATATATATGTTGTATAAATTAAGGCAGCAAGCAAAATTGAAGCTATTCACAGAATAACTTTGGAAAGAATTCATAGATGCAGAATTTACTTTTAACTTTTGGACTCCATGTTTAATATTGTAAGTATTTGGGAAAGCCTTATATAGGAATATTAAAATAGCACACCTGATTATTTAAAACAAAACCTCTTAAAAGGGCTGTATTCCACCTTAAGCAATTGTCTTTATGACCTTATATTGGGTATATATTTTACAGTATCTGATTTGTGTGTCTTTCATAATGTGATGGCATCATGCATGCTAGTATTTATTAGGCAGTGAAAATCCTCTGGTCAGTAGATTTATTCCAACAGAATTAGGGAACTAGAGTCCTTCAAAGCAGTAAGTAGTAAACGCACTAAACTATAAATACTCATATAGTCAGAACATTTGTTCCATAAAGTGATTGAAGTTTGTATACTAGATACTGGCAAAAATATTATTTTAAATATGAAGGTTTGTTCAAGAATGGATAAATGAATGAACCTCATTTGTTTCTATAGCAAACATTAAAAAATGAGATTATGCGTTATGTCCAAATGTTCGTGTACAATATCCAGATATTTTGGTAATACTTTGACAATGATGGGGATAGAAATTCTGGATACAGCAGTTGAGGAAGACTGCTAGAAGAACATGGACAACTGCCAATTAAATAAATAAAAACGTAAGTACATAAGCCCAATCATTTCAAGAATAAAGCACTAGTGGTAAACTGATATATCTATGCCAGTTATTTCTGTCTTTTAAATACAGCTGCACTGCAAGGTTTGTTAATGTCATTTTATTTAATTATATGGAGCTCTCCTCCCTGAAGACATGGTACTAAGTTACCATGGAGCATCAGTATTTTGCAGAGGATTTGATAACATTAAAAGAGTAAAATAGGTCATTTTAGTTCTTTTGGAGATGTTTCAAAGTCAAAACACTCTCCAAATACTTGAAACAAATATTTCAGATTTGTAATTAAAAAAAAAAGTTTTGCACACTGAAATGATTCAGCTCTTTGAACATGCACAATTCTTTTAAGCAATCAATTGCATACCAAGGTATTTTGCTGGTGGACTAAGGGGCACAATGTGACACAAACATTATTTATACAGTGGATCTTTCTCTTTCTTCCATTCCACTCTGGTGGGGCTATCCAAATCTCTACAGATTCCCTCAGCCCTATAGAAGAATTGGAAGGAGTGTGTGAGAGGCATTTGGGAATTTGCATGGAAAGGAGGAGCAATAGATAAAAGAAAATATCCACCCAATATCCCTCCAAATAGGATGGTGACACTGAAAAAAAGAATAATTTTTGAAATAGTAAATACATATGGCATCAAACTATAATTCTATGGATGTCTATGTAGAATAGTCTCCCTTTGAACGCCCCGGAATCTTTCTTCAAAAATAAGCATCCATAAGACTGAACTGTTACTCATAGGTTAACATCAGATTTGCTCCGCTAATTACCTATTTTGAACTGGTTTTGCTTTGTTTAACAATATATGTGGGGTCCTCTGACTGATGTCTGCAGATGGAAAAGACTTGGAAAGAAAATGGCCATGGATTAATAACAGACTATTGCAAAACTAAAGTTAGTTTTAATTAATTTTAGTAAGTAATTTTATCGTCATTCCTTCTTAATCATGATTAAGCCTTCAACAAATATAACAGGCAGAAATTCTGTTGGTGGAGTTTTCCAGGGTAGAAGACAGTGAATTCTAGTCCTGCATTAGGCACAAAGCCACCTGCCTGACCTTGGGCTGGTCGCACTCTACCAGTTCCAGGAAGCAGGCAATAGCAAACCACTTCCCAAATCTTGCCAAAAACCCTCCTGCAGAGATGAGTCTAAGCAGCTGACAGGAGTCAAGGCATACCTGTGCACACACAATGCACACCAAAGCTTTCCTCTATTGTAGATCACCTATTGGGTTTCTATTTTTTTCAAGTACATGCATATCCTGCCTTTCATCTAGGAACTCCAGGTAGCAGGTGCATCATCCCCTTCTCCCTGTCAGAACTAAGAGTGCCTTGTTGGCCCAAAGTCCCTCAGCATTTGTGGTTCAGGGCAGATGTGAATCAAAGTCTCCCTGATCTTAGTGCAAAAAAATTACCACTACACCACAGTTTTACTGAGACGATGAAGGTATAATTTCTTTTTTGATGAATCAAATGGCAAATATTTAAAATAATCTCTCCTACAATGTGACAGAAACCAACAAATAAAAAGCTTTTCTTTCCTCCTTCGGATTTTTTCCACTCGGTGTGCTTTCCACTCTGTGTGTGTGATGAATTATTTTTCACTAACTGGAGACAGTATTAGGCACAGTTCTACCACCACTCCCGTAGCTTTATTCTTACATTATAAGGTAAAAGAGAACCACTATATGTGCCTGACATGCACATATTTCAATGCTGTGAAATTAAGCATATTAAATGAATATAAATATGAATGTAGTGATTTAAAGGTTAGGTTTTCTATTGGTGATGGAGACATAACGAAACTTTACCATAACCTTAAGTTACTGCTTTATTTGTAGGAAAGATTGTTAGTTTATAATAGCGGTGCCAACAAGAGTAAAATATATTGTGACTACAATTTTAGAGGATTGCATACAGGTCATTACTAACATGTTCATGCTGTTTCTGCCTCCAAACCAAATTAACTCTGTGATCAGGCCTCCATATTACACTGATTGAAAAACTTCAGAACTGAACACACACTACCTAAAGTTACATCATATTGATTTTTTTCGGTTGACCTCAGAAAGTTATAGTGTGGTTGTATACATTTGTGTCTGATGGAATATACTGTATGACTGTAAGCAATGCATGTATTGCTGATATTTGTACTCAAACCTCTCTTAAATGAATTAAAAATATAAAATCTGATTTTATTTGTGGATCATTTGTATATATGCAATTAATAAAGATATATTAAAATTTATAAAAGCATGGGTACATACATCTAAATGACATAATTACCTTTTAAGAGCATTCTGTAATCCTCCTAAAAAGTTAGCTTTATGTTTTATTATTGTATTACCTTTTTAAATAGATGTGGCAATGCCACAAACTTCATAGTAAAAATGTAATTATTTATCTATATTTAATTACCTTCCTCTGATCCTGCAGAATCGTATTAGGTAGACAACTGATATTCTCAAACTAAACAGTCACTTGCTTAATAACAGATTCTGCTTGATGTTCACATAAAGTATGAACACTAATATAATTTAAATTGACTCCTTCCATCTTTCCTCCAGGCTATACTTCATCTATATATTACTGCACTGTACTTACTCTGTTCCTGACAGAAATGCAATACATTTTTCTGCCTTTTCATTACATATGAAGCTATGCAACAAAATTTTATTGAATTTTATTTTACCTTTAGTTTTATAATTCATAGGCATTTTTGCTTATTTAGCTAGCAAGTTTTAAAAATTAGTATTCAACAAAACAACCATTAGATAATGCTAGGGATTTAATTTATTTACGAATAACAAATATTCATAGAATCAAGCAACTTTATAAATATTTATATGAGGTTTATCAGGCACCCAACTCCATGGCAATCATGGGTGATTTACAATAATAAAAACATACAAAACCCATATAACAAAGGGTAAAAATGAATGTCTATAAAAGAATATCAACCATCTCAATATACTGTACATAATCCAGTAGGAGACTTATTGCCCATTCAAACCCCAAGATATGGGAAGTAGGGAGCACAGCGATGTTTGTAAATACTTTTTAAATGGTTCTATCATTAAAGGCTATAATAACAAAGTCCCCTGACTCTCTCTCCCTCGTATATCAAAAAGAATCAATTTGCACAATCTTGAATTTCTGTCTGGTTTCTTTCTCCATTTCAGAACTACGCTAGTGTTTAGATAAAGGCTTTTTCATGGCTACCTCTATACTGCTTTACACCTACTCTGAATTGACAGATTGCAGACATAGCGCTTTACCTAGAGCAGTGGTGGCGAACCTATGGCACGGGTGTCAGAGGCGGCACTCAGAGCCCTCTCTGTGGGCACGAGCGCCATCGCCCCAGTCGTAGGCCTTCAGCTGGGTTTTATAAAACCTTTTCGCTTTAGGCCTCTGCCGCCGTGTGCAAAAAAAAAAAGATTCAATAAATCAGTCAATTTCAAGGGCCACACCCATCTGGCACCTGACAATACATAAGTGGGTTTTGGGTTGCAGTTTGGGCACTCGGTCACTAAAAGGTTCGCCATCACTGACCTAGAGAGAGGCAAGAGCAGAAGCCCACACATCGGGGACATCAGACTAAACACTGCAGGAGAGTGCCCTCACCCACAAGTCTACTACTTGGAGATCAAGAAAGATAGTATGTTCATGGTATTAAAAGCCTTTGAGAGATCAAGAAAAACCAGGATGGTTGTATTTCCCTCATCCTGGCTCCATCAGAAGTTATTAACAAGCACAAACAATGCTATCTCCATAATATGCCTCAATCTGAGACCTAACTAAGAATTACTGGGAATCAGACATCATTTACCTGCACATTTAATAAAGTATTATTATTAATTGAAAAGAGTGTAGAAAGTCCTAGAATCAGAAGTTTGAAAAATTGATGAAAATTGTCTAGAACTGTTGAACTTTCAATGATTTCTTGAGGAAGAGGGGTACTATATAGCTCCCTTCAAGGCATCCCTTCCCTATGGGGATTGACACAATGCATGAATTCAGCTACTGTACATATCATTTCCCAAGCAGCCTTCACTCACTATGAGGGCCATGAACCCAGTAAACAGGTGGCTGGGTTCACCATACCAATGACCCTACCCAATTTTACGGATTGCCAGGTTCTTGTATTCTGTTTTGTAGCTTTTAACATGTAAATCACAGTAGTAGATAAATTATAGCTTTGTGTCTGGACTGTTTCGTGTTTATTTATTTATTTATTTATGAGACTTATATACCGCTTTAAGTGCAAGCACTCTCTAAGCGGTGTACACCAGTAAGCAATGTATATATATATTTACATTGCCGTTTTTTGTGAGTTTTGTGTTTGTACTTTTTCTTTTCTACATTTATACCCATCATACTGTTCCCTTTCAGGGTAAGAAACATTATGTAGACACAGAAAAGGAGTAAGACAAAAAAACTGAACATATGAGGCAAGAAAAAGAAAATATAGCTACAACTACCACCATCCAATGCCTTTCTATCTTACCAATTCTGCAAGTTTTCTTTGCAGCCACATCCCATTTAATTACTTTATTCTATACCTGACTAGGTGTCCTATGACTTTCTTAAATTTTGAAATGCATGTTTTTTTCCACTACATTTTTTTTAGTAAAATATTGGACCAGTTTTTATTTTGCCCTGAAGACAAATCAGGTTTCCCTATAGTGGTAAAAGCTTTTTTTTTTTTTTTTTTTGGTGCTACCTGGGTGCTCTCCAGTGATGCTGTCAAAACAGAAGCACCATTTTCTGCTACTCCAAGCAGGAAACATAGTCAGGTTGGCCTAAAATATGCATTTTACAGTTAAAAAAACAGAAGAAAACCTCTTCCCTTTCCCTTCATATTGTGCCATTACAAATTTAAAGTATTAACGTTCAGCTGTCAGAAAAGTGTCCTTCGTTATATTACTAATTCACGTCGTAATTTAATATACTACTGTATATGTGAGTACCCTCCACCTCTATTATTTGAAAAGTTGCGCCAATGCAAATTAAGTATAAAGATTTGACTGCTGATTTCCCACCCCCTTGCTAAATTGTATTTTCTGCACCATAGAAGCTGATTTTCTGAAAATTTAGCATCCCCATAGTTTTTTATACTTTGCATTAGACGTTCAACTAAAAGTAAAGAATCTGGCACCAAATCCAATTCTGCGGCAGCAAAGACGGAGTCTTACGAATCATTTCCCGTCTTAGGGAGAAAGAAAGGGTGAGCGCATTGCACCCTGGGAGCAGAAGGCTCTTCTCGCTTGCTTGGACCCTACTAACTACAAGTCCCAGCAAGCTTTGGGGCAAAGGAGGGAAGGAAGGTAAAGATGCCTATGCCTGTCTTCCGGTAAGGGGAAAATTCACATGTTTGTTCGCACGTGAAAAAGTATGGATGCTGCGGGTAAATGGAGGAGTTTGCCCAGCGGTCCCAGCCTTAAGCATCTTACGGCGCCGGACTACGGCCTGCCCAGAGAGCAACAGCGGCCTGCCCTTCAGGATATTGCACGGGCTCATATTGAGTCGTTCAATTATGCTATAAGCGAAGGACTGAGCCGTGCCGTGCAGGTAAGGAAGTTGGAAAGAAAGATTAAAAAAAAAAAACACATTGCTGCGAGGTGGGGAGCGGATTAAGGGTTGGGGGAATCGAAAAAGAACCGGGATGGAAAAATAATATAAAAGTGAAGCTTTTCATTGTAGAGGAGGGTACCCCGCTCCTTTTGGAGATTTCCTCCTCAACAAATAAAAAAAAAAAGGCACTGTATGCGTTGCAGTATGTTTCATTGTATTTATCAGATCTCTTTTAACAGGCTGGTTGTAAATCAAAAATGGAGGGAAAGGAATTTTTGGTACAATTTATATCGTTTCTAGAAAAGTGCCATGCTAGAGTTTAACAGCCCCCAGCATGTTCTATTGCATTTTGTTCTTAAGGTTGGAAAAGGAGGTACAGTATGAAAAAAATGAGGAAAGGTGTTTTTTTTTGTAAATTCACACTTTCTTGTGTTTTTGTAAATTCGCATTTCTCTATTTATAAGACTCTATTCTTGTCTTATGTTTTTTCCTCTAATTTTTGGCTATTATATTGGTTAGCTCCAGCATAGAGATGTTTCTCCTCTAAGAACATATTTATCAGGTTTATAGTAGTGTATGGTAGATGTCACACAAATGAAATTTTCACCATTTCTTTTGTTTTTTAATCCCACTCTTCAGCTGAAAAAGGCTCTCACTTTGGCTTCCAAATTCTCATAATTTAAAAGACTTGAGACAAAGAAAAGGATAATGAGGGAAGAAGGAAAGAAAAGAAAGTATCACCACCAGCTCTTAATATAATAAGCTCACCTGTACCTGGCCTGTTAGACACAAGATTACAAATCGGGAAAGACCAAAAATGGGTAGTTTCTCTGCTTTGTTGCCTGACAGAATGGCTGCTGCTAGTTGACAATTTAAAAAGTGAAAAGCACCAGTGCACTGAAAACAATGTTGTTTGATAGCCACAAAAATATCTCTCCTGTCCAGGATAGATTTTTTTAAGATCCTTTCCAGTTCTAATTGACTTAAGATAAACTCTGCTCTTTTTTTAGGATATTCCTCCTTTGGAGTTTGTTTTTAAGAATGATCGAATTACTTTGGCCTTTTCAGGGGCCACAATCAGCCCTCCCATGGTACCAAAAGGGAGTATATGTAAAGAGCTGAAAGTTTATCCAGCAGAATGTCGAGCACGTAGAAGTACCTACCGTGGGAAACTGACTGTAAGTAGAAGAATAAAATAATACTTCCAAGTGTTTTAGAACTTTGTTTAAAGCATTGAACAAACATAGAAAGTTCAATTATAATGTTTTTCCCTTTTTGGAAATACTGGAATCTGAGGTCATCCAATTAAGTGAGGTAATGGCAGGTTCAGGAACTACTTGTGATTGCAAGATGTAATTATGATTGGTAATTTAAATGGGTGACACTAGTTTCTAGTGGACAGGTGTCAAACTCGCCACGTCACGTGACATGTTGCGATGTATCATGACTCTGCATTGCCGGCAATGGGGTGGGCACAGCTTCGGTATGATGAAACCAGCCCATGGGCCGGCAGTTTGACACCCCTGTTCTAGTAGAAAAAGAATGGTTCTACACCTGGTGTATTTAACATATAAGGCTGTTTAAAGGCTTTATGTCCAATAACATAAAGTGAAAGCATT